GAGAAAAAGAATAATCATTATGGAGCATCTAATTTTGGAGGATCTAGGCTCCAATTACAGCTCTAATTACTGAGGTTGGCCTTTTGCTTCATAATAAGCTGCTCATAAACATTTATTCCTTGCCACCAGAAACATTCTCCTGGCTTTATGATAAACAGCATGAAGTTATACTGCAAGTGATAAACAGTATGAAGTTATAATGCAAGTGGCCAGTGTTCAAAATTGGGTTATCTTCATTAGGCCCAAATCCTTTGTTGAGTATTCTGAGATGAAGATTGGTGGCCTACAGGGGAAGGTGCAGAAGGAATAAGATATCCCACAGCTCAGAAAAGAGTTTAAACATTTTCATATGCTAAAAAGCTTCATCACTTGGGCTGGGTGCAGTGGCTCATGCTTGTAATCCCAGCACTTTGGGAGCCTGAGGTGGGTGAAGGACCTCAGGTTCAGGAGTTCAAGACCACCTTGGCCAACACAGTGAAACCCTGTCTCCAATGAAAGTACAAAAATTAGCTGGGCATGGTGGCGCGTGCCTGTAAATCCCAGCTACTCGGGAGGCAGATCGCCCTGGTGGGTAGAGATTGCAGTGAGCTGAGATCACGCCACTGCAGCCTGGGCAACAGAGCCAGACCGAGACTCAAAAAAGAAAGCTTAATAACTTGATTCAGAAAGAAATCTTTTTTTTTTTTTTTTTCCTTGATACGAAGTCTTACTCTGTTGCCAGGCTGGAGTGCAGCAGTGTGATCTTGGCTCACTGCAACCTCTGCCTCCTGGGTTCAAGCAGCTCTCCTGTCTCAGCCTCCCAGGTAGCTAAGACTACAGGCACCCACCACCACGCCAAGCTAATTTTTTATATTTTTAGTAGAGACAAGGTTTCACCATATTAGCCAGGATGGTCTTGATCTCTTGACCTTGTGATCTGCCCACCTCGGCCTCCCAAAGTGCTGGAATTACAGGCATGAGCCACCGCCACCCAGCCTGATTCAGACAGAAATCTTAAGTGAGCATATGCAGGAATCTTTATGTCTGTCCACCAATCATTCTGTTCTCCTTCTAGCAAACGGTAGAATCACATTTCTGTGCCCCCTCATACGTAGGTATGGTGGTGTGACTTGCTTTGGCCAATGAATTGGGAGTGGGACAATACCAGCTTACCCACCTCCTCTATACCCTCTGCTCAGTGACAAGCACTGTCCCAGGTGGCAGCTGCTCTAGGACTGGGTGTAGAATAAGGACAACATATGGAGTCTCAGCCAATCCACAAGGGATGTGTGGTGAACGCGAGAAATAAATTTCACTGTTTTGAGCCACCAGGCTTTGGTGGCTGTCTGTTACCTCAGCTCACCTCGCCATGCCTGACTGATATAGCACAGTATGGATTTTCCTCACTTAATTTACTCAGGCACCAACTCTGTTACTATTCAAGCCATACAGGGTAATGCTAAGTAAAGAAGACTGGTCTTAAACATATGGAAAGGAGTATATATTTAACTCTGCCAGAATGTAGACAACCGCATAGGAAAGCGTTAACACAACAGGCCTGACTGCTATTCTTCGAAAGACCTGCTTACAAATTTGGACCTTGGCTGGCATCCTGAGAACTTGGATTTTGGGAGGGCTCCCAGCACCCTCAGTGGCTCGCAGCGCCTAAACTGTGTGTACAAACAATGGCACTTATGGTGAACGCTTACTTTCCTCCTAGGACTCTGGAATTTTGGTGTGTTCTAGGCAGAGGGTACCTACGGAAGCAGCCTCCCCAGAAAAGCCCTGGGCACTGAGTTTCTAACCACCTTCCCTACTGTAGCAGGATCGGTGGGGAACAAACCTTTCGAACACCGAACCGAGAAAGGAAGTGGCTTATTTGGCTGGGAGTTGTGGGAAGCTAATGCCTTGACCACCGAGCTCTCCAAGAAGCAGCTCCTTTCCCTTTTTAAGGGCCTGCAACTCTAAAGGGGGAGCAGAGGTGAAACTGTGTTATGGTCCATTGGCTGGACGTTTGACCTCACAGCCTTTGGCTTCACTGATTTGCTAGTTCATATGCAGCGTGAGCAGGAACAGGCAGGGGAGGGGGCTTACGGAGACAAGACAAAGGCAGTCAGTTCCCCATGGATGGACGTATTTCTGGGAGGGGATCTGGGTCATGCAAACGTGGAGGACATGACCCAGTGCTGGGCTCCGGCTAGTAGTGATAACATTCTTTGCAACTCCTTCAAGGCTTTATAGAGAGCAGAGACTCTGGGAACCGAAAAGGGAGTCATTTTCCCGGTCCTTGGGCCTCTTTATGGCCTGGTCAGTGGCGTCAGCAAGTCGCCTGACCACAGATTCAAGCTCGTTGGTATTTTATTTCTGTTTTCACCCTCCTTTCCATCCAGAGTGGAGGGGGAGGCAGAGGCCAGGAAGCAGGAGGTAGGGAGGGGGTCTCCCCTCTCATCCACACTTTGAGAACACTATAAGGGAGCATTTCTCAAGCGTTGTCACAACTTGGTGCTGGGGTAGTCATCCTCAGTCTCTGTGACTCTTCTGAAACAGGCCTCGCCGAAACTCACGCCTGGTGTCCCCTAGACTTTGCTCCATGCGCCTTTTCCCTTTGCTGATTTTGCTTTGTATTCACAGAGGAGTTAAGATGAAATAATTCAGGTAGATAGTGGGGGAAGAAAGTCCTCCGTAAGGCTTTTCTTTTAATAAAAAGCAGCCCCCAAATAATTTTCTTTCCTATCAAAAAGCAGCTGGTAAAATCGAGCTGCAGACACAGACAAGCAAGCCGGAAGCTTACACGGGTCAATGGCGGCAGTTGTGCCCATAGGAAACGGCTAGCTGGGACTAAGCACGTTCAAAATGGCGACTCCATCCTCTCTTCTCTTTGCCAGTAGTCAGGAGCAGGCAACATGGCCAAGGCCAGGCAGAGACTCCATTTGCATAATAAAGATTAGGATGGGGCAGACGTCACACCTCGTCCAACCAATCGGTGGGCCCTATGTAAATCAGACACTGCCTCGTCAAGCCTGGCTATAAAATCTAGTGCACTCTGCCCTCTGCCAGAAGACCCAGTTGGGCACCTCTCCCTCTGCAAGAGAGAGAGCTATTCACCTTTCTCTTTTTTTGCCTATTAAACCTCCACTCCTAAACCCACTTCTTGTAGGTCTGCGTCGTCAATTCCCTTGGTATGAGACCATGAACCTTGGGTATTTACCCCAGACAATGAAGCTGCTTTGGTATCATTTTGCTATTAAAAAAATCATAGTTGCCGGGCGCGGTGGCTCAAGCCTGTAATCCCAGCACTTTGGGAGGCCGAGGCGGGTGGATCACGAGGTCAAGAGATCGAGACCATCCTGGTCAACATGGTGAAACCCCGTC